GAGGGCAAACAAGTACCCCGAGCGTGGAACATCGTCAACTTAAGGTGATACTACCTATAGACCACCAAACGAAGTGGACAAAATCGCTATCAAAGCCCAAGGGCTAGGGTGCCGAGCTAACAAAGGAACCTCGGCATARGCAAGCAAAGAAAAGTGTCAGCCAAAGGCGAAGCGGAGACAACAAACTAAGGGTCATCGGCATCTCAGAGACTAAAGTATTAACACCAAAACAGGCCGTGCGAGTGCAGTAACCCGGTCAAGAAACAGATCGGGCATATGGTCAGTTCGGCAAATACGGTCAGTTCGGGAGAAAGGACAGCCAACACTTAACTAAAAGAAAAGTCATTCCATTTCAAAATAAGAGAGTGTGCATTTCGAACAAAAGAAAAAAAAAWTTCACAGGCCCGGAACTACTACTTCATTATCAAAAGGCACTTCAACGATACCCGAAGGTCCCGCCTCGCCCTCAGAATCTGGCTCACCATCAGCAGCATTGGCCATCTCCTGGGTTATGCGCGAAGTGGATATGGGACTCATATCGAGCTCGGGGTACGTATTCTGGATCATCCACCGGCTTAGTTTAAAACCCCTTCTGTACGAGTCCACCATCAGGTCGTTAAAGCTCGGTGAGGTGATGTACTCATCGACGACCTTCTTCTTAGCATCTTCAATGCCTTGAGAAAAGATCTGCGTCCTCCTGAAGGTACTCAACCTGATGTTGCAAATCCAGCCTCAAGTCCGCCATGTGCTTCACTACGACTCCCATGGTCTCGGCATCTCTCTGAGACCTCGCCTGCCTGGTCTGTGCAACGCGAACAGCCGCCTTAGCTGCGCGAATAGTCGCCTCAGCAGCGCAAGCAGCCACCTCAGCAGCTCGGGATGTCATCTCGACAGCACAGAGAGCCTCTTCGGCAGCTCGCGCCTGCCTCGAGCTCCTTTCCACCTGGGCCGCCAAGGCATGGATTGAAGAATTCACCTACCAAAAGGAAAGAACAAGTAAACAAAAGAACGATAGCAAGAGGGATAAAAGCAAAGAACCCGACAAGAAATCTGACTTACCACCATGGCATGAGAGACAGCGCGACAAGCCACCTGGTTCAAAGGAAGACCGGTCCACGCCGCAACCTCCTCTAGGAAAATGGCCTCCCTACTCTTCTGAAGAGCGTGGTTCGGCGACAACACGCTCCTGAATTCCCCTTGGGCTCCCGAGCCCGAGGGCCCAACTCGCATATAAGCAGACCCAGAGTAAGCGRGAGCCCCCGTGTAAGTAGTCTCGGCATAAGGGGCCTATGCCGCTTCTTGCATTGGAGGAGCCATCTCGGGCTCCCTGGGCGGATCCTCTGACGGGTAGTCTGGTACCTCAGGCTCCGCATCTCGGGGCAGCTCGGCATGAGTTCGCTTCCTCCTCTTCATGCCGTGAAACAGGCGCCCACCACGAGTCCCTTCGGAATCCATCACACCTGCAAAAAGAGTTCGGCATCAGAAAAAACAAAACAACAGAGCAAAACAGAAAACCTCTTTGTAAGGAACCTACCCGAGCTCAGGCCGGCCGCAATGAGTTTGGCCTCCGTCAGATACTAATGGCATTTTAGCCCAAGCCGTGCCCATTGCCGAAGGTCCTTCACCGTCTCTTTATCAAGCGTAACACCGGAGTCAGGGGCGGCCATCCCTCACCCGGTCTGAAACGGCCACCCCAATACACTTCGCACTCCGAAGTAGTCCCGCTTCCACGCCGGGACCTTGTTGGGGAGTTCATGTAAAAGCTTAAAACCCGGGCAGGGAGACAGGTAATACGCCCGCCTACGCCCGGGAAGGGGACCCGCCTACTTCTTAAGCATTAAAATGGAAGAGAAGATCTCTAAGTCTAAAGGAAAGCCCTATTCGCAATATAGGGAGATTGTCCCCACTAAGTTACGAATGAAGTTCGGGTGAAGCTGGCCGACCGTAACGCCGAAGTGGTTCAAGACCTCGACAAGGAGGGGGTGGAAAGGCAGTCGCAGCCCCGCAACGAGCTGCTCCCAGAATATCACGATCTCTTCAGGACCGTGTTCCCAAGGAAAGCTACCCAAAGGTATGAAATGGGCGTACTCCCCAGGCAAGTTGTAATAGGTAATAAGGGATTGGAGCCCCTCAGGCGTCATGGTCGAGGGGCCAAACTTGTCTAACGTCCGACCTCGACGAGAGGTGGACGCCAAACTACCCGAGGCGACTCGGCCTACGGGTTCGAACTCTTCCTCGAGCTCTACCTCCGGCTCACTAGAACCATTAGGGGATGCAACTCGGTTTGTAGAACCTGCATCTGACCCACTTGAAGAACCGTCTGAGCTATCCGAGCTAGACATCGAGGAGAGAAGATGGATTCCAGGAAGGTACTCACCCGAAAAAAGGCTTGAACGGACTACGAAAACTTGAACGAGCAAAAACCTTGAATGCGAAYTAAAAGCATGGACGCGAGCTCAAAAAGCAAAGCGCAGAAGTGACAAAGCGACTGGGGTCCCTCACTATTTATACCTACAGTGACCGAGAACCAACAGCACAGATCAAAGCCAATCCGACGGCCCGCAGTCGCGTTGACCACACGTCCCCTGAGACCGAGACGTGATTGGCGCACGTCTTTCTGAAACTGACAGAACGCCAACGCATGTCTCCTCGCATTAAAGGCGGCAGCGGCGCGTTTTTTCAAAATTGAAAAGACCCACTGTCACGTCTCTCAGCGGCGCGCTTTTTTGAAATTTGAAATAAGCGCGCGCCGCCACGTCTGTCAGCATTTCTAGGCAGATTGGCACGCTTCCCGTCTCTTTGGCGCTCGAGAAACCCGGAAAATTCGGATGAACACCTCGCGCTATCAGTCAAAACCAGTTCAAAGTACGAGACAAATCCACCTGCCACCTCGCGAATTCCTCGCGCCAAGGCAAGTCCCTTAAACACGAGGAGTGGGGGGCAATTGATGAAGGAAGATTTGGCCCGACCTCGTAATCACTCTACACATGGCGAAGGCAACAACTCAGCACGACAACACACCCAAGACGCGAGCTCCGAAACAAGGAACCAGCGGTCCGAACTCCCTACAAGGAGCCCGAACTCCCCGTAAGGAGCCCGAGCTCTCCCTTAAGCCCCGAGCCTTGCAAGCACAAAGGGCAACGACCCGAACTGGCCTGCCCCATGGCAGTTCGGGACACACCTCTATCCGAACTCAAGACTTCACCTTGCTCACAACTCCAGCACTTCGCCTCCAGGACGCCAAATTGAACAAACCGTACCACACCTGACACCGAGGAAGTCCGTACCTAGGAGTAGTGCACCTGACTGACTTGGCATCTAACGCTTGACAACCGCACTCCAACGACCACCTGCCACCGCCACCTGCTACAGCCATCTCCAGTTGCAGAGACGGCTCCGACAAAGAGAGCAGTGGCGGTTCTGTCCCAGCAGAGGTGATGACACCCGAATTGGCAGGAGCGCAGGGATAATCATACCCGACCTAACAGAAGCTTAGGAGTAAGTGCACGAGGTGGTTATAAAAGACTCCCTACCCCCCAAGAACAAGGTATGTGAATTTTGCGCCATCTGATTTTATTTTGCCTTTGAAAGAATACTAACTTGAGCTTCGGAGCAATCTCACTGGGTTCCTCCCCAGGGATTCCCCACTTTCTTCTCTGTTTTAGACCCCCTGTTGCTCCAGTCAAAGGCAAGGTCGTTGACAGATAGGACCGACCGGATTGCGCATGGGCTCTTCCCTGATGGAAGCCGAACCCTGCTTGGTGTGGGTCCTGCTTGCATTTGATCCAATATACTGGAACAAGAAGTAAAATGCTACCGGTACCACAACTGCATAACCAATACAGCACACATGCGTCCAAATTGACATTACCGACATCAATGCTGTATGTAGTGCTGCTATGATTACTCCGTTTCTTCATCAGTTACGAAGTGAGGCAAACAAAAGATCCAAACCATCCCATAATTGAATACTCACTATAATTTGCATCGTGATAGCAATAAACTTGTAGAACTAGTAAATCTGGGGAAAGAAAATGATATGCAGCTACTTTGAACTTTGAACCAAAAACAAAAGTTCCTTGAACACGTTCATTAGTTTTGCATTAAGAATAAAAAAAGGCTATTCAAGTCGAGTTCGAGGGAAGTTTTCATGCTCGCACTGTTTTGAGGTTGCGTCGTGTATATTTTGGTTTGTGCAGTTGCTTAATGTGTGCCAAGCCGTTAGCTTTTCAATGGATTCATTCCACTTCTCGATTTTGCCCTTGCCTGATAAACCAAACCTTGCTTACTCTCATTCTCTCTATCTCTAACCGGTGGTGGCCAACAGTCATCACTGACGACTGTTAATACCGGCGACCGGAGAAAATTTCATGTATTTTGTTCGTTCATTTTTCTTCCCCAAAATTACATCTTTGCCATGAAAAACCTGACCTTAATTGGCTTGGATGGCAGTTATATTCACTGTGTAGCTGTTTCATTGGAGTAGTCGACACCTTATATAGCAATACTGTAGATTGTAACTGGGCCAATAAATTATATTCAGATGAGTTTTACTCTCTTGTGAGGTCTTTTGATGTATGCACAGTTAAGCATATAAATAGACAATATAATATGTTAACTCATGAAGTAACTATAATTTAAGTTTTCTATTTAAAAAAAAAAAGACCGGTGACACTCGGATACATCTTCCTTCCTTTTGTTTTTCACAAAACCAAAACTCTATAATTTCATCTTCTCTAAGCCCCGCATCGGAACTGGTATTTGTTTGGCAGTTGGTTGATTCCATTTTGATATTTATGATTTTATTCTATTTTGCCTTCATTCCTTGTTCATCAATAAAAGATAACCTACCATCCAATGTATTCAAATCATTTCATGTGTACTACTTTTGTCTTTTGAACTTCAACGAGATCAAGAGATGGATCACTTCAGCTTTTTGTATTAGGTGGGGTGGGCAAGAGATCTCTTTAGCCGGGAATTTTCTATCAAACAAGTCAGACTGAGATGTTATAAACTTTCAATATATGCTTTAGATCTAGAATTCCTTTTTCAGAGATGCGTGAAAAGGGAAACCCAATTGATGAAGCTTCAACAAAGAGGGATCAAAACACCAAGGGCATCAATCAAACATCTAAGGAAGAAATCAGGCATTGGATCCACTATCTAATGGCTTTAATAGAATTAAACCAACTGTTTGGGGAAGAAAAAAAAATTAACGAACAAAATACCTGAGGCTTTTCTCTGTTCACCAGTGTTAACAGTCACCGTCGGTTGGAGAGGGAGAGAATGAGAATGAACAGGGTTTGGTTTATCAGGCGAGGGCAGAGACTGGCGAGTCTCAAGAGGAAGTGAAATGGATTTAATGAAAAGCTAGCGGCGGATAAGCCATCGACGGTGGCTCATACGGGTTCATCCTCAATATGCGCGAACAGTGCGATCATGCCCTCACCGAAGCCGAACTCACTCAAGTCTTTGTCATGTACTTCAGAAATGTGATGGGAGTGAATAGGGAGTTCGGCTTCAGTACAGGCAGCTATATACGGGCAGCACGAGGACGCGTCACGCGTTTTTTGATACGTGCGAAATGAATTAACGGAGTCTGTCCTCTATGTCGTTAGCTTCTCTGCCTTCTCATTCATTCCATCCCACCTCCCGCTCGAGATTCATCGGACTCTGCCCTCACTAGTCACTCTCTACCTCTTCAACCGGCGGCGACCAACAGTCATTACCGGCGACTATTAATACCGGCAACCGGAAAAAACCTAAAGTATTTTAGACTCTGCCCTAATAGAAACTGGACTGTAATCATCGATGACCGACAGAAGCCGAACTCCTCTTAACAGTAATCAGAGTTCAGGTTCGCCTACCCTTGCTGAGAATTCTATGGAGAAAGAAATGCAGATTGTAGAGTAGAAAACCTTGTATTTTGTATACTTTACATATTTCTGTTTGTACTCTTTCGGCCAAAACCCCTTTCTTGGCTTCATGGTGGATCTTGTGAAGCTCCCTTATATACCTTTCATCATTGTCCGACAATCACAACATTTGCGCTACCTGAGCCTGAAATTAACAATCACACGCTAAGTTAATAAACTGGAGGAAGAAAAAGAAGGGCAACACTACAAGTAGTAGGTAGATAGTTGAGTACCAGCAGAACTTCTTGATCGTCGGGAGAGGGGGAAGTGGTGCCGAGAACGCGGACATGGAGAGAAGGGGAATTGGGGGGATGGGAGATGCAGACGAGGATGGAAGTGGTTTCATCAGAGAGTCTCAATGGGCGCTGGAAGATAGGTCTTAGTCATGGGTCGCACTGGTTCAGCGCCACCGTGAACAGTCCATGGCTGCAGACGACATTCTCAAGATTGAAGGTTGAAACCGACTCCCCAAGCGGCAGAGTAAGAAAACACGAGACAACTGACGATGACACCTCCACTTCTTCTTGTTTCCGGTGGCCATCTCTTCTCTCATTGGACTCTTTTGTCCACAGAATCCTCCATTCTTACTTGTTCATCAAGGGTATGGCGAATCTGAATGATTACCGTTGACAGGAGTCCGGCTTCTATCAGTCGCCGGTGATAGCAGTCCGGATTCTATCAGGGAAGAGTTCAAAATACCTGAGGGGGTCGCCGATGGTGGCTGTTAATCACCGCCGGTTGAAAAGGGAGAGAGTGAGACTGACTGGCGACGGCAGAGTCCGGTGAGTCTCGAGCAGGAAGTGGAATGGAACTAATGAGAAGCTAACGGCATGAAGGTAGGGGTGAGCATTATTCGGTTAAAACCGAATTATCGAATCGAAAATTTCGTTTTTGGCTTTTCCGGTTTGGTTTTTTAGTTTTTGGGGAATTCGGTTCAGCTAATTTGGTTTTTGGGTAATTCGGTTTTTGATTTTGGTTTTCAGATTTAGAAATTCGGTTAATCAAAAAATCGAATTAATTAAAATTTATTATATAATATACAATATATAATATGTTATATATTTATATATTATATATAATGTATTATAATGAAATTAAGTTTCATAATATATATTATAAAAATATATATATATGTATATATATATATATATTATAGGTTATAATATATAATATTATGTATATTTTAATTAAATTCAGTTTTAATCGAAAACCAAACCAAACAGTTTTATTATAATTTGGTTTTCCTTTTTTAATTTCAGTTTTAAAATTTTTGGTTTATTCAATTCGGTTTTTAATCAAATAAACCGAATGCTCTCCCTTACATGAAGGATAGACTCCGTTTAATTCATTTTGCATGTATTAAACCAATGCACGAATTAAAAGACGTATGGCGCGTCCTCATGTTGCACGAACGGTGCGCGTATATAGCGTGTCTGGACCGAAGTCGAACAAGACTATTGGATGTTGTATCTATTTTTTTTATTTTTAAATGAAAAATCAGAACAAAAAAAAGGGAAAATGACCAATCAGTCCAGATCAGAATTTTATAACCCCAAAGTACAGGGGAAATGCATCTTGACGATGAATTAATGCTAAATTCAGGGGTAAGATGTGATTTATACGGGGGAGAGGGCTAGTAGTAGGGGGGCTGGAATTCAGAATTCTGCATCGTGGGTATCCGTACTTCTCAAATAGACTGGATAACTAGGAAATATCACAGTCCTTGGATAGTCCAGACACTCTCCAGGCTAGGCCTGTAGGCCATTCCAAAGGGTGGTCTAAATTCCAATGGATGTGCAGCACATCTAAGGGTGGCAGATGAGGCATTGAGGCCTTTCCCTATTTTTTCTTTCAAAACAAACAGTCTTATTGCATGTTTGATTTGATGGAAAATAAAAGAGAAATAAAAAATTGAAAAGAATTTCTCATAGAATTTCACAAATTTTGTTCAAAACATTCCTTCAACTTTATATTTCTCTCTTATTTTCTATCAAACCAAATATAACCTTAGATTATATAGCATATTCCTAAATATGTAATAGAATAAAAAGAACCCCAGACAAACGAAACCATAAATAAAATGCAACTTTACACAAAAAGGCTAGAAACCTTGCTACAAAAGAATAACCTAATAATAGTCATGGATGAAACAGGGAGAAATCATTACTTGCGATGGGCCGATGGCACAACTGTGGGTTGCACAATCAGGACTTTGATTGATAAAATCCAATTCCAGAGGGGTCAACTTTCTCATTGTAGAGAAAGTAGCACCAAAACAGCTATAGAAATGCTTATATATAAAAGTGCAATGGAAGCGCAAAACTCCCTTTCAAAATCGCAAATACTTGAAATTCAAGTACAGGTATAGTTTGTGAGGCTACCTTTGCGCAAATTGTTTAATCAAATTAGCTTCCTTCTGTTTTAAAAAAATATTATTATCTAGATCTCAAATCCTCCAAGGAACTAAATGTTCAGTTTAGAAAGAGTATAAATACAAATTTTTAGAATGCAAAACTTTATATTTTGTATATATTTATATTGTACATGTTTGCATTTGTACTTTCCCTAAGGGAAAGCTTTATAATGCATGAATTTGGGGTGAGGCGGGCTATATCCTCTCTTGTAATAAAATTTTAAGAAAGCATTGTGTGTATCCCCATAGATGCAAATGATTTGTCGTTTGTAAGTTTGTAACCATATATTTTGTTCTTGGCTTGGAGTTTTTGGTGTTGGCCCCGAATATTTGTTGTTTTAATCAAGCTGAATCACAAGTCACCGAACCTTCATGGAACCTTCATATTTACTTTTGGTGGGCAAGAATGCATAGAGGAACCTTCCAATCAACTAATTGAGGTTCGATTTTTGGATCATTTGCAGAATTTGAAGAAACCCGTCTCTGGAGTTAGTTGTGATGTGTTGTCTGTTTAGTTGAGGTAGGTGGGCTTGAACCTTCGACCTTTGGTAGGGAATATCAACAGATCAAAGTTACGCGCTCCATCCATGGATAACTACACACCCACACACAGTGTGGGAGGATGGAATGGCAGACCTGAAAAGAAAAAAACTAGGGCAATAGGACTTAAATCAATAACAGAAAGGCCTGTGTAAAGAGCCTAAACTATTGTTTGGAAGCTAGATACTAAGGATGAGAAAGACAAATGGGATATTCCATTTATTAGGATATAGTTTGGATTGGGTTGTATATGGGTTTGGAGCTCTAGGCCCAGCCCAACTTAATGTGAGTGCAGTGAAGTCGTAGTTGTTAGGTTACTTTCGGACCTAAGGCTGTGTTTGGTTGCAATGCAAATAAATTTTTACTGATGTGAAACTATGGCAGTGCAAATGATTTGAGTGTAAATTCTGACCTAGTTTTGTTTCAAACTTTAGCTTATTTTGTTTGATTGCTTTACAAATGAAATAAATTAAGACATGAAGCAGAATAAGGTAAAACCCAAAACAAAATTAAATAAGAATTTGCATTTTTTTTATTTGCTGTCCCATGCATTGCATTTGTACTAGTGCAAATAAAATTGCACTGCAACCAAACACAGCCTAAGGGGAGCTAAATAATGCAAAAACTTGTGAATGCAGTTGAAAAAGGAAAAGGAGGAAATTGATGCTAATATTGTCAAGGAAGGTTCAACCTAATGCTTTGTTTGGTTTTAAGGAAAAGGTGGGGAAAGGAAAGGAAATTAAGGAATAGTTTCCCTTTATTTTTCTTCCTTTTTCTGTTTTTTACTTCAAATTAAACACAGCCTATAAGTTTGAGTTATTAGGTAAGGTCCCTGAATAGGTTTTCTATTTTCTAACATGCCCCCTCATGTTAAAGTCTGTTGGGCTTGATGTATGGGCAAGCATAAACCAATCCATACCTTGTGCTGAAATTATAATGGAGGGATGGGGATAGAATAATTAAAGATGCAACTTTGGTGGGCTTGAGTTGGAAATTTGTTAAAATTTTAATAGATCCCACGTAAAAGCAAAGACCTGATACAATGTAAATTCTTCAAATCTAATACCTGATTTACATTCCGAAAAATATTAAATCACTTGATCAAACAGGCTCTAATATCATGTCAATATACAAGCTTAAGCTGTTAGATCATTTCCTTGAATAGATTTCTATTTTCTAACAAACATTTGGGTTGGCATTGATAAGTGAATCTCCATCCAACTCTTTGACAGCACTTTGGTTCATAGGTAACTGCTTTCAATGTCATTTTCCCCTTGAACACTTCATTCTTGGTGTGAAAAGGTGGGCCTGCTTCCCTAGATAACTTGGCGGCAGAACGCGACTGTGGGAGGTAATCCATCCTTGTTTTGATGCTTTGGAATTAGGTAAGGTTGAAAAACAAAGCCTAAAAATCACTTCCCAATGATTTTTCGAAGTCATTTCGGTATTTTCAAGTAATAAACCTGGCTTCTTTTTTTTTTTTTTCTCTAACAACCGAAACACATCACCCACATTCTAAACGAGAAAATACTGGTTTTTGTTTTCTTGGAAGAACGAAATACTGTGTTGAAAATTGAAATGTCGTGAAAAATTAGAAAAACATGATTTCGTTTTCATTTTACACAGCCAAACAACTGTGATAGAAAAGGGCAATGGAAGAGATGAATCGGGCTGGGTTGGCAAAGCGGAGTCGGCAAGTTAGCTGGTAATTGGTGGGCAAGCGTTTACAAGAATTAAGGAGAAACAGAATTGGATGCACATGCCCCACCCCAGTTCCAATCGGCTATTTGGATTTTGATATTAAACCCATAAACCTCATTCTTCATGTGGCGTTCTTTTACTATAAGCAAGCGTAGGCTCGTAGCATCTCGATGAGTGTCAAAGATCATCATCAGACGGATTTCAGCAGGACCACGTACGTGAAGTCCATAGTGGAACTTTATTCACGCTTTTCTCGAAAGCAAAAAGCAAAAAACAATGGGTTAGATTTAGATCGGAGGAAGGATCCATGTCTAATGGATTTTGAAGTTTGAGCCAACCGACACAGCAGATCAAGCGTTGAATCTTTAAAAACCAAACCAAATTACAAGGCCCTAGGCGGCTAGGCCCAGTGCCTTGCAGACAACGCTGATCTCTCTCTAATCTCTTTCCTTTGCGTTTGTTTTCTCACTTTTCTCCGCTCTCTACGTAGACGGCCCCTCCCAAATCCGGTAAGGTGCCACCGAGACCAAGGTGCACTTTAGCCGCCCGGATATCTTAGAAGATGAGCATCAACTGAACCTGAGACTAGGACCCGCGTTGGCTCGATGGTCAAACCGTGTATCGTTAGGTTATTCTGCACCATCGCATAGGATAGTCCATGTTGTCTATTCACCCTTTTGGTTGGGTGGTTTAGGCCTAAATTGAAATTGGTGGTTTGGTCTAATACTCTAATATAGATTTAGAAATAAACTAATTTTATTTAGGATCATTTTAAATCGTACTTTACTGATTTAATTTGACATCTTTTTTAAAAACACGTACCCCTATCCCTATAGCTATCCCAATAATTGGAATTAATTAAGACTAAATTGAGTTAGAAGACAGAACTAGGAATTATTGAAATTAATAACCAGATACTATTATATGCCCACAGAAATGCTTTTGGCGGGAAGGAAAAATGGATCCGGTCGGTTGGTGTAGGAAGCCATAGTGGGTTCCAACCCTACTTACCTAATCACTTACTTGCTCATTCTGTGCTTGAAACTTCTTATCTCTTTAGGATGACAACGACAATTCGTGGGGTCTGTTGTTAAATACTGAGACCAGTTCATTCAAAGCCCAAAGGAAATGTGAGTCTGATTTCCTTTCATCCAGTATCAGCTGACTGAACAATAATTGACCCGTAACCTGCTCAGGTTCGGGTCAATAATATGGATCTTAACATAAAGGTTAAAGGAGAAAACCGCAATGCAGCAGTTTCGCGCGAGCCGGATTCCAGGCCTTTTCTTTCGAAATTTTTATACAACATAGAGAGCATGTTGGTACTAAAGCCATTAATTTAAGAGCCTGTTTGGTTCGCAGAAGTAAGGGTTTAGAAATCGGAATGACATTATAATTTTAATTTGAATCCATTCCCATTCCTGGTGGAATGGCAATATGGCATTCCTCCATTTGACCTCCATTGAAATTGGAATCCCATTCCTAATTCCCATTCCAATTGTGAACCAAACGGATCTTATTTTTGTGCATTTAATCCATGGGGCCCTCATGAGATCTAAAGATATAAATGGTAATAACTAAAACAATTAATGAAGAATACTAATTAGTAATTATCATAACTAAAGGGGGTGAAACGTGAAAGTGACAAATAAATATTAAAATTTGGTCCCTGCATGGACACGTAGCAGAGAGCTAGGCAAAGATACATAGAGGATAGGAGCTTTCTGCCTCTCTCTCCTGAAATTACCGGATTCACTGAGACGAGCAATGCCAAGAGGAAAGCCTTTCCCAACACGGACCTGAAACCGGTTTCTTCGTTCAGAGATAATGAAATCAAATTTAACCCACCTTCAAATCCGTCCAGCTTGTATTTATATGTTTGGGTTGGGACTCTCTCTCAACACCACACGCACTGCGTACAGCACCAGCATTCCCACAACCCCTACCTTCCCTCTCCCCCTAACGAACCGTTTGGGGAATAAAAAGCGAGGGAAAAACAACGACCGAAATCCATAGATCCCGCCGGTATTGGTCACCGGAGTTTTGCTTCCCGGCAGAAATTCGAGTAGCATTCGGTAAGAACCAGCGGAATCATTGCAATCCTGCATTTCTACTCTTACGGTGTTTGTTTATCTGTTTTTTCTCTGTATTCTGCTATGCATGTCGTTTGATGACTACTTTCTTGAGGATCATGTATGGAGGTGTTGGAACCTAAGCATCTTCTTTCATCGCTATTGGAATTGTTCGTTCTATTTTTCGGAGGAATTTAGTAATGTAGGTTGTGTTTCATCTTATTGCTGTGTTTTCTTGAATTTTATTGAGATACGGCATCGTAGCTTTTCTGTTTCAATTCGTTGGTTGCTTTGGTTCTTTTGGCTTGATAGAGTTTATTGGAGATTTCTTTTATCCTTAGAAAAGAAAGAAAAAAACAAATTGCGAAATTTTTATCAGATCTGCTACTTGGTTTCTCTGTATCCTTAGTCTTTTTTTTTTGGGGTAATGATCCTTAAGTCGATCTATACAATTTGTGATTACTGTATTTCATTCCATTTCGCTTCTTGTCGTGCACAAGTTGTTACAGAATTCCATCTTTGCTTCGTGTGGCGCCTCTAAGTGTTTTGAACTTTTACTTTTTAGGTCATATTTAGGTTTTCTGTCCTATTCAGACACCGATCTCATCCGCCTGCTTATTCATCAGAAAAGAAAATCACTTAAACTAGTTCCAATGTGGCTGTAACATAAAGTCGTAGCTAACTGCAACCTGATATGAATTTAGTCCCCTGTCCCATAAGAAATGACCTGTTACTAGATTCAATGGTTTCGTAGATCYCATTTAAAAAAATCCACTTTGTCGTTTAGCTGAAACTCGTATCCTTATTCCAGTTAATACATGCAAAGAGATTTCTCATTGCTGTTTTAGCATTATTACACAGTCTTTTAACACTTGTTTGGATGTTGAGTGTCTTTTTAAGGGTTTTACCTTATGTTCGGCTTTAAGATTTCAATCCCTTTTTATTTCTAATTCTGTTTTATACTGGGGTTTTCTTCCCTTCCCTTCCATCTCGTGTGTTCTTGTTAAATCCAATTGAATAGTTTAATATCAACAAATATATTTGTCAATACAAAGTTCTGAAAGAGGAGCGGCGCTTATTCTTGTTGGAGGATTCATTTGCAAATGCATGCCTGGGCATTCTGTTTTAGTTTGTGAAAACCTGCTGAATAGTTCCTGATTATTTTATGGGCAGGGAAGGCAGGATATTCTCACAATGAAGGCACTTATTCTTGTTGGAGGATTTGGAACACGGTTGAGGCCATTGACGCTCAGTTTCCCAAAGCCACTGGTTGAGTTTGCTAACAAACCTATGATTCTGCATCAGGTTTTGCTTCCTAAATTCCTGCTTTTTGTGTCAAAACTTAAAAGTTTACTTTTACCTGTTTGATGCTTGAAGTATGTAAATAGGCTCCTCCTTAATATTTTAGGTGCTTCATTATTACCAAAAAGGTTATTACCATGCAATGATGACAGGCTCAACGGAAGAAACTTCCGACTTTCGATCAAAAAAGAAAAAATGGATTAAACTTCTGAATAGTTGATGCCTAAGCTATAACACTACATGTAATATGACTTGAACCTCTTTATTTCTTTTTTCTTTAATACAGGTTGTAAATTTTAATATTACATTACCTTAGCCCAAAAAGTTGGAATGTTAGGTGCTTGCACAAGAGCTAATCAAGTACTATGAAGAGATTATCAGTATTTCCAGAAAATTAAATAAGTAAAACTATTTTATTTTCGGGTGYTATATGGATTGTTTTAACCAAAGCCTCTTTTTTAACAATAGATTGTTGAATTTGTCCCAGATAGAAGCTCTCAAAGCTATTGGTGTTACTGAAGTAGTTTTGGCCATCAATTACCAACCAGAGGTAAAACAATTAGAGCATTTATCTCACTGCAGGAAGCCTTTTTGATGTTCTAGTTGGCCATTCTTTGTAGCGAAATTGTTTATGGGGTTGCACCTTGTTTTATATAGGTGATGCTGAACTTCTTGAAAGAATTTGAGGCAAGGCTTGGGATTAAGATTACATGCTCACAAGAAACTGAGCCACTTGGGACTGCTGGTCCTCTAGCTTTGGCAAGGGATAAGCTGATTGATGACTCTGGTGAGCCATTTTTTGTCCTCAACAGTGATGTTATCAGTGAGTATCCACTCAAAGAAATGATAGCTTTCCACAAAGCCCATGGAGGGGAGGCTTCTATAATGGTCACTAAGGTAGCTTTGAATTCTTCTCTTTTCTGCAATCGTTACTAGAGTAATTGAACTATGATTTTCCAGTTATATTGATTTGACATTGAACAATTGAGAACTATTCCATTTATTTGGCAGGTTGATGAGCCATCCAAGTATGGTGTGGTGGTTATGGAAGAGTCAACAGGGAAAGTTGAAAGGTTTGTGGAGAAGCCAAAAATATTTGTTGGTAACAAGATCAATGCTGGGATTTACCTGTTGAACCCATCCGTTCTTGATCGGATTGAACTGAGACCCACATCAATTGAGAAAGAGGTATTCCCAAAGATTGCAGCTGAGCAAAAGCTCTATGCCATGGTCTTACCAGGATTCTGGATGGACATTGGTCAACCCAAGGATTACATCACAGGTCTCAGACTCTATCTGGACTCCTTGAGGAAGAAATCCTCATCCAATCTGGCCAATGGTTCTCATATCGTTGGAAATGTTTTGGTACATGAGACTGCCGTGATCGGAGAGGGGTGTCTCATTGGGCCAGACGTGGCTATAGGTCCAGGATGTGTAATTGAGCCAGGGGTTAGACTTTCACGTTGCACAATAATGAGAGGTGTTCGCGTTAAGAAGCACGCATGCATCTCCAGCAGCATCATCGGTTGGCACTCCACTGTGGGGCAGTGGGCTCGAATAGAAAATATGACCATCCTTGGGGAAGATGTTCATGTATGCGATGAAATATACAGCAACGGTGGTGTTGTTCTACCCCACAAAGAGATCAAGAGCAGCATTTTGAAGCCGGAAATTGTCATGTGAGAGTGAGAACCAGAGATGAAGCTGAGGTTTTGAGTTGCAGTTAAAATTGTCCATAGTAATGACATTATGTCTGAAAATTGGGTCTTCTTCTTTCTCTCTTCCTTTCATGATTGTAAAATCTAGTGTTATGTCATCTTGATTTGCAGATGCATAAGGTCAGTGGACCTCAGGTGCACCCTGCTCTGTCCCTACCCCATGAGTCCAGTCCCCCTGTAATGTGTGTTATGTAATACCAGAACAGAATAGAGAAGGTATGGTTACGGCTGAGCATTTTCTTAGGATACATATGTGGCCTGGATTTGAGATGTAATCTTGATTTGCAGATGTGTAGATACAAGTTATCATTGCCAATCGCTTATTCTCAGAATTTCTGTTCGTTAGCTAGACATACCTTTGTTGTACAGCACATGAGATGAACCCCTTTTAACAAGCAATGTGATACTGAGGAGACTAGATCCAGTGTCGGTGGCATTATTGGTTCTACTGCCAAGACGCAAAACATGTGGTGAATTTGAACCCCATGTTTGTACCATTTCTCCGATAGTTGGGACGTCAATTTAAGTGCATGTGCTCCCAAGTCTGATAGTCCCCACAATTAAAAAATATTGTTGCCAGTTTGCCACTTCAACTCAATCCCTTTGTCCGATTCTTTGATCACTTCTTTTCATTTGTGGGGCTGCAACCGGCTTTGTTTATTTGAACGAGTTGTTAGCATGGACCACAAACTATCTTGATGTCTAATTTATTATTACAGTGAATCCTCCCCCAGAGGAAAGGTCGTTGGCTCCTTTTAAAAGGAGAGATGCTTAGCGGGGGAAGACAGAAATAGGCAGATAACTCACTGGCCACTGGGTCAACGGTATGACGGTAAAAAATCATGAGAAATTGGGAATAGGTACCTCACCGGTTCAACAGTTGGACTATCTATCATTCTATCGTATCTGGTGGTAAAAGTGTTTGACAAGGTCGGTTCTCTTCTGGGTCTGGTCAAGTCGGAGAAAGACTTGGGAGGATAATTTGTAGTTGGTCTCTCCGGCTTCCTGCCTTGGTTATTTGTGGGGTGAGTTCTGAAGCAGCCATATCTCTTATTTTGCATATCCTTGTTAAGATATTGATGCATCATGCAGCTTCCTCGAAGGTGCACTTAAAAGTTGTTTTGTCGTTTTTAATTTATCTGTGTCCCTTCCTCAAGTGAGACGTGAAAAGCTAAATTGATTAATTGGTTGAGATCCAAATAAGACATGAAAAGTCCCGTTTTTTGTATGATAAAATATTGCAATTTGCAAAACCGTCTGTAGTCTGAAATTACAATGAAATTGCCTTTGTCCTTTTCAACAGAAAATTAAAAAAGAAAAAAGAAAAAAAAAAGCATGGTGACAACGAACCATTATCCCGATATTTCACTCTGGATCTGCCATTCTGCTGTTCACTTCGTACAAGAGGCTAAGTAAACAATTATGAGTGTTTCGCATACATGGATGTGATGCATCCGGGCTTTATTATTTAGGGACAGTTGACACTTTTATTAAGAACAAATTAAATAAAAAACATTAGGTTAATTATAGACAGCCGCCCAGTACTTAGGGTTAGTGATACTTAGCCCCTCCAACTTTGTTTTATAACAAACAACCATCACTTTGTCCCACCATTAATATTTTGTGGGTTAACTTGATACAATATTGGCTTAAACATTTCTAAAACTTTATATTATTTTATTAGTCTATTTTATCCTTTTTACTTAGTTTTTCTAAAAGCCCTAACTCTCATATGTTTCTCTCTAATTTATCCTGGTAATGCCTTAAGAAGAATTTGTGCTTTAGGATGGTTATTTTGATCTTTTTGATATTTGTTATTATCATCCCATAGCATCTTGAATGAGCAATTTAATAATTTTACTTCCACCCTTAACAGCATTATTGGATCATGGAACAATGTGCTAGAATCTAGAAATTTGGAGGGCTGCTTCAGGGGGTTGAGAGTTGCCATCCCTAAATACAAGGTAAGGTGATATCTGTAATTTGTAACAAACACCTGCCATTTTCGTGTCTTGCATAAGGTGCGTACTAACCCATGAAAGTTCAGGGGTAGTTTTAATTGGTCAAACCCTCGAACAGGAGTTCTTCCAATAACATACCCATCCACTCTCAGATTGGGGTTTTGATCAATCAATACCACTCCCACACACTGAATTCGAATTTGAAATTTAAATTTCCGAATATTTGATTTGATTTAAATTTGATCAATTAATTTATAGATAAAATAAGTATTTTATTCATATAAAGTATATAAATGTATAAATTATTTTATATATTAATTATAAAAAATATTTAAATAATATGTATATTATATATAAGAATTAAATAATTGATCAAATTTGAATATTTATTAAAACAAATTAAATCAGGTCATATTTAAATTCGATTGATTGTAATACTCAAATTATCTGAAGTTGATTCAATTATGTCGAATCTCAAATTTAAAATCGGATTTTCTAATACCATTGACACCTCTAAATACAAGATGAGCATTGTTTGAGATCCGAACTGCCTTTAGCCAATCCTGGTCAACTTTTTTCCAGCCTAGATCAGCTGCTTCCCACGCTGTATATTAAAAGTTAAAAAGCCTACATAACCAATCATGGGTGAAAACGCCAGTGTTCCGAACACATGAATGTTGTGTGGTGTGTATGAAACACTGACTTATCCACTGTTAATTGGTTAAGTAGGATCTTATGCAGTGTGGCAAGCCTTAAAACACAGCGTTGCCAGCAGCAAATCCCAAGTCAACTTTTTCACCATGAATAACCATTTTGGCATAGTCCCTTTTCTTTAACAATGGTCGCCTGTTTCTTAAGGCTCAGTTTGGAAGGAATACAAATACAAATATGTATTTGCACTGTACATATTTGTATTTATACTCTTTCTAAACTGAGCCTTAAACGATTAATAATCACAGTATTCTGAAAAAAAAAAAGAAAGAAATTGTGAAGCTGGTTGTTAAGAAACGTCTATCTCTCCCGGAGAAAGATTAGCAAGTTGATCGGAAGGAGTGAGAGAGAATATGATCCACCGATCCCACCAACGATTTGCAGCACGTGGAGGGGGCATCTCTTTCACTGTTTCACGTGAGTTGTGCTTTTTCTTCTCCTTACTTATTTCCCCCACGTCACCATTGACAGGCTTGTGGTGGCACCTTCTTTTACAGGAGACAAAGGCCCCACGCCCATGGGTTTTAATGAAATGCATGCCTCCATTAATTATACTTCTTCAAGTCTCCTTTGCCTCACTGAAACCCAAAGAAGAGTCAAATGAAGTTATGTTTAATTAGTTTCTGACGTCTAATTAATAGTCATAGATGTTTAACTACTTAAAAGTTGTTAAAAGTTAAACAACTACTTAAAAGTTATTAGTTATGTTTAATTAATAGTTAAAGAGGACCCACGATTCTCAGTAAAGCTAAAGCATATTCGATTAAGAGCTCTACTTGTAACTATATACATGGCTTATTCATCATAATTTGGCTCTGTACTCTGTAGGTTTAAAACCCCCACCCCTCAGAAACTGGTMTGTGGATACTCAATAAATATTTTTAAATTTACAGTTGGTCAATGGRATTTTGGTTCTCTTTGACCAAGAATCTTATGTTCATTTTTCAGATTTTTGTGGGGACCAGGGAAAGTTTATTTTCCTGGGTATCACTTATCCGGGTAAGTGATACCCATCTCCTAGGTGAATAAATAACTTTTCCACCTAGGGGGAAAGTTGCTAACACTTGAGTGGGACAAAAATACCCCTTTTAATAATGGATTTTTATGACTAAAATGGTCATTACCTTATTTACTTGAAAAATAAAAGAACATGAATAAATGCGTTTACCCGGACAAGTGTTTCTCAAGAAAATACTTATCCATATAATTACATTTACCTGTGTAAATAACTTACCGAAAAGTGAACAGGACCTTTGTAATATATACCCTGCAATAAAGCTCACATTTTATCATTTTTGTATAAGCAATTGATAATTTTCATGTACCCGACTAGTACCAATTATTTGGTGGTTGGATCTGTCGTATATCCAGATCCATGGCCCACTAGACCGCCGATACAGATGATAGGAATTGGTCTGGTATATAAGGACCTAAGTCGGACCCAGCCCATGTATCTATGTTTATTTTCATATGGCATTTGACATTCACCCCAGATTATATTCACAATTACCAGCAAACGGTAGCCATCTAATGGCGACGTGGACAGTAGTAATAGACTAATATAAGGTGTCACTCCAAAAGTAAGGAAATTTTGGTTGTTTGGGGTTCATACACATAACTCAATTCAGCAGTTCCTTATGGGTAAATTGCTGAAGTTTCTAATTGTTGCTGAAATCTCTCTTGAAGTTYGGTAATTGCAATCACCTCTCCTGAACTTTTTGACATAGTTACAAGTAAATCTCTTTTGTGTCAAAAGTTAAAACCTACCAACAGTATGTGGGATGACAATACATCCCGTTTTTCCAAAAGTTAAAACTTTTGACACTACATTATCCATGCGTCCTGTTTCTCCAAGATTCCCAAGTCTAAGATAGTTAAATGAATAAACTCAACTAAGGGCAGGAAATAGGGATGACAATTTTCCTCATACAATTGGAGTCCCACCCTGAATGGGGTGGGTTCTCCCTGATCTTAAATGGGTACGAGGCTTACATATAATTCCCTGATCCCACCCCAAACCAGGTGGTAAATTATTAAAATTTCCTTAAATTTAATAGTAATTTCAAAAATATCCCTAAATTCCTATAGTCTAATTTCTATAATGCCCTAAAATTCCACAATCCTATTTTTAAAACACCTTCAAATTGGCATGTAATTTTAGGTGGTTGCCTCGAGGTGGGGCAAGTTCAGAAATCATCCCCAACGGAGAGGGGGTGTCCTGCTCCACCACTGGGGACAGCCAGACAGGGTAGAGGATTTTGGCTAGAGGGCGGGGACAGAGAAGGGATGCCCCACCCCATTGCCATTCCTAGGCAGGAAGGGGCTTTAGCCAAATTGGTTATTTTTTATATTACATATGCAAGAATAAACTAGTTCTCTGTTACTATTCTATATAACGTTAACGTGTTCAATGGTCAGATAAAGTTGATGCTAGCTTGTGAATTTGTATAATCGTGTCTGCGATGCTCATTTACCTCTAGTCTCAGTTTAAAAGGAGTATAAATGTAAATATGTACAATACAAATATATATAAAATATTAGGTTTGGCACTCTACATATTTATATTTCTACTCCTTTCAAACTGAGCTGTGTACTTTTTCCAAACTGTGCCTAGATATTGTTTGTTTATGGCTTTATGCTGTTTCACGCATGTTATCTGAATCAATTTTAACTGATGAGTTCGTCATAGAATGAACGCCATAGCAGTACGTTGTGGGAAATGATGTAAATAGAGGTCTATAAATAATCCGTGCCTGTTCATCGAACATATATCATAATTTGGGTTCTGGTCCTTCGGGTGATAATGAGACCAAATATCGATTTGATGGAAAATATCGATTTGGTGGAAATAACGCTGCTATCCTTTGGATTCAGCCGTGTTTGGTTTGATAGAAAATTAGAGAGAAACAAAACGTTGAGGGAAAATTTTCAATGATTTTTATGAACTTTCTTAAGAATTTTCCTCAACTTTCTGTTTTTTGCATTTTCTATCAAACCAAACACAACCTAAAAGGTGCCATATGAACGTTGCACCAGAGACGTCCATATTCCTTTACCAGTCGTTACATGATATCAAAACTCTAGGTTATAAGGAGAAAGAAACCCGTTTATTTAATATTAAATAAAATATAAAAAAAGATATTGAATAGTTTGGTGCAGCATAAGAGTGCTGGTTCAAGTGCAAGTGTGGTCACTCGGCACATAAAAAATGCCCTAGGTTAACGTTTAGTTGGACTGAGGTATTTAGAAGTGATTTGAATGCTTACAATTTATCACCGGATATGTTGAGAGGTAACACGACCTCATAGTTGTTCTGGGACTAAGATACATCTATTAATGCAATAAATGTCATTCCGTGTCAAGACTTTCTGGCCCTTGCTTGAAACAAGTGTATCTTACATACGTGGCAAGCTTTACATGGAAAGGATTATAGTAATTGTGAGGAAAAGAGATGAGGAAAGAGAGTGAGTCATTCAAACAGAAGCCAATAGCCAAAACATAATCAAAGAGGATATGGCTATGAGGACCCAGGTGATAAAAGCTAGTGCTACAGAAATTTGGAACCTACTGCAAGGGAGTAGAGGTTGTGTCTTGCAAAAATTCAAGTCCCTCGCATAAAGAACTGTAACCCCTGCTGATGAGCATGCTGCTGCAAGTGATAGAGTGGCTGTCACCTGCATTGTCAATTTATTTTTTTACCAATTAATAAATCAAATTCATACTAAAAGCTTAGGAAGTATGTAAAATGATATCGCAGTTTTTATCACAACCTTAATCCTGGAATATCTAAACACAGAGGCAATTTGCAGCACCATGATAGGCAGAAAATACTCGACAAAATAATAAATATAGAGCAAGTAGAGAATCAAATGCAAATAGTTTACCAAGCCTAGTCTTATATATGTATGGAATAAGATAAAAGTTTTACTGATACAAAAGAAAACTCTTTTGCCAAGTTAGGGATAAGAGAGCCAATACGAAGCATGGTTTTTAAAAACGAACCAGTGACCGAACTGGTCAGGGGTCCGGTTATTGGTTCGAACGGTCCGACTGTTCGACCCAAACAGCCGGAACATTCTAACAAAAAAAATTAAAAATTTGGAAAATGGTCAAAACCGTTTGAACGATTAACCGGCCGGTTCAATGGTTTGCTGATCAAAATCAACAGTTTTGGAGGAAAACGGAACCGGTCAGGTGACCGGTTCCTGGTTTTTCCGGTCCAACCGTCCGGTCCGGTTTGGTTTTGAAAACAGTGATACTTTGGCCAAGATACTTTGGGGCAGGCGGAGATATCCTGTTAAGCATAATGTTTGGGGCAGGCGGAGATATCATTTGGTATTGCCATGTCCAATTTACTCAGCCATTGATACTTTGGCCAAGATTTGGGCATTCCTGTACAATCTTCAACTGATCATCTTTGGATCAAATTGTTTAGAGGTGAAGAGCTCTCAGATGGTCATAGGTTGGATGAACCAATCATTGAAGTCCTTGGTCATTATGACAAACTATCAGAAGCTAGATCCTTGACGTCCAATTTGAATATCTCATTAGATGGATTCCAATGTACTAATTCAATGACTACATATGAGATTGGGAGGTATAAGTTGCATCCCCATCTTTTTTTTCCTCTTGTTTTTTATTTCTTTTGGTCTGGTCTTCCTATTCAAGCTGGAGTACTCTTCTTTCTTTCCAATTCTTAATAATTTTCTTGGTTACTAGTAGGAAAAAGGAGTATAAAACAACATATTCAAGGAGCAAAAAGGAGGACTAGGCTTAGTGACTTCCTATGGGAACCTGGTGAAGAGAAAAAAGGTCACTTGATTAAGTGGGAGGTGGCGAGTCGGAGCAAAAAAGGAGGACTAGGCTTAGGGAATGTGGTGAGTAAGAATGAGCCTCTTTTAGGTAAGTGGCTTTGGAGGTGGCCCCTCGAGAGGGAGAGGTCGTGGCATGAAGTTGTGAAAAGTATCCATGACTTTCTGAATCAGGTTGGGATGCAGGGGTATCTCGAAGGGCTTTGCTCACAACACCTTGGAAGGCTATCTCTGGCATTCTCCCTAAATTCCTCAGGTTTGTAAGGTACGATGCTTGTTCTGGAACTTCTATTCTTTTTTGGGAAGATACTTGGGTGAGCACTCAACCCCTAAAAGACCGTTTCCCTTCTCTCTATTCCATCTCCCTCTTTAAAAAGAAACTCATTTTTTGGTTCCTCCCCCCCCCCCGTTTGCCTTTGGCTTTAAATTGGGATTTTGGGTTTCGGAGAGGATTAAGGGATGAAGAGTTTCATTGTGTCTCAGAGCTGTTGTTGCTTCTAGATTCAGTGTGCCTAGACCCCACCAACCTGGACAAAAGAGTCTGGGCTCTAAACCCGGTTAGCTCTTTCGCTTGCGCATCTTTCTTTAAAGCCCTTTGCTCTAACCCTTCCTCTCAGATCTTCCCTGTTAAAGAGGTTTGGTCAAGGCCAATACCCCCCAAAGTAACAGTGTTCTGTTGGGAAGCCTATTATGGTAAGATCAATACTGTGGAAAACTTGCAAAAGAAGAAAC